ATGCTTTGAAGCCACGATTCAGGCTAAATGGCTACGGAACTTTATTTTAGGGCTTGGATTGGTCGACAATATTGAAAAGCCGCTGAAAATTTATTGTGATAATTCCGCAGCAGTCTTCTTTTCTAAAAACGACAAGTATTCCAAAGGTGCTAAACATATGGAATTAAAGTACTTTGTCGTTAAAGAAGATGTTCAGAAACATAGAGTGTCAATAGAGCATATTAGCACCGATCTTATGTTAGCTGATCCCTTGACGAAGGGACTATCGCCCAAGACATTTACTACATAAATGGGCATTATGTCAGCTAGTGAATGATGAAAAATTATAGTTATGCATCAAGTGTTGACACTCTGAGCTCATTGATGAATATATGTTTCTGATATTGTCTTATTTTCAATTTATGAATGCATGCAAGTAAATGTGATGATATTGAAAATAATTATGGTCCGTTATGAAGACATTATTGTTGGACATAATGTACACTTCCTATTAAAGTATAATGTTAGGAAGAAGAGTCAATATAATAGTACATGGAAGGGACTATGCCGACTTGATAGCATACAACCGCCATGACTCATGTTGATTTTATTTCTAATAATGAATTATGATGACGTCAATGTATGGAACCTTTAGCCTAGTAAATGCGCATTAAAGTTAATGTTAATTAAATCATGAAGGGACACCTTATGACATGAGCCAAGTGGGAGAATGTAAAACTATTTGTGTCTCATGTGTGATGTGTGTCAATTGGTTTGATTAATAATAAAAGAGGCTTTAAGGTAATTGACGTTTCGCATTAATGATAATTGACATTTTAACGTTTTGCATTATGGTAACGTTTCGCATTAATGATAATTGACGTTTTAACGTTTTGCATTATGGTAACGTTTCGCATTAATGGTAATTGACGTTTTGACGTTTCGCATTAAGGGAAGTTAATTAGAAATAACTGTGATAAGCCAGTTATATAATAGTTTATATGGTCAGTTTTAAAATAAGGGTATCTGATAGAAAACAAACGTCCTTCTGAGTCTGCCTAGAAAAGTTGTATCCTATCCCTATCAAAGAAGATACAAGAACGGTGAAAGGGTCAAGGCTTAGAGAAAGCATTCTACTGTTAAAGATCTTCCGCGATTATGGACAAAGGTATGTTTATGTGAAACTCATGAATTCTAAAGATCCTATGTCATGTTCTTGATTGATTACTGTTGAACATGAATCATGAATTACTGATTTATTGATTAAATTGCTTACACATGGGTCTCAAGCATAGGCGGAGAATCAAGGTAAATGTATAGAACACGTTGGTTCTATATGGCTGTACTAATAGTATATATATATATATGGTAAAATCATTTCTCCGGTTGCTAGACATCCAACAATAAATCTCACACCGTTGATTAATTATGATTCTTCCTATCTAATGCTTTCATCCACTTTATATGGTTATGATTTCTCGATATTTCCAAATTTATTTGTTGGACGTCAAGCGGCCGGAGAAAAGTAAAGCCATATATATATATAAATAAAATCATTTCTGCAGCCGCTTTACGTACCGCAACATGTATGGTTATGATTTTCCATATTTAATACTTTTATCCTTTGTATGGTTATGATTTCTTGCATTTAATGCTTTCAAATATATATGGTAAGTATTTAATTGCTGCACATACAATAGCTGCAGATTATATATATATATATATATATATATATATATATATATATATATATATATATATATATATATACACGCGCGCGTGGAGAATTCTCTCCGATGATGAGTGTAATGAAACAATAATCGTTTCTATCCTTACGGGCCCCACTAGGAGTAATGCAGGATCCTTACACGATGCATGAGGGACATATGGAAGAGTGACCATTTTGCCACACTTGACAAAAAAATTTACCAGACTGTCACGCCAACAGTAAATTTTGCTAAAATGCCACGCTGCACCCTTAGCCATCGTTGAGGAAGTCTGAAAATATAACTAATTCACATTATCTTATCTTAACTCTTAATTATTTTCAGACTTCTTCAACGACGGCTAAGGGTGCAGCGTGGCATTTTGGCAAAATTTATTGTTAGCGTGACAGTCTGGTAAATTTTTTTGCCAAATGTGACAAAATGGCCACTCTTCCAGGGACATATGCACGGGAGTAAGATTCACTGTGGTGAAATCACATTTATCTCACTTTAGTGATGGATACATATAATTCCTTAAATGGGTCTTAGACTCCTAGAGATGATCCCAATAAATCGGGTCCATTTGATTGATCAATGACAGATAATTTTGAAACTTTCTTATTTATCCCTTTAAATATAAAATTATAGAAACTTGTCTAAAAATTAGAATCTAACCAATGTTATAAAAATTGACCTGACCCAGCCAATTTGATCGCTTGACCCATAAATCGAACCCCTAACTGGTCCAATTTAAATATTTGACCGGTCATTCATTTGACCCGATAAGAAATCAATTTTGTGGAATTTTGGACAAAATGCTTGAAAAATACCACTAATGAGATTCCAACCTAGACCATGTGGATTATAACTTATAACACTTACCACTTAACCAACTATAATTATTAGTTAAAATGCTTCTAATTTTACCTTTATTATATTTACTATACATATTTAATTCATGTGATTGAACCAGTGATCCGCTGGTTGAACCAAAGACCTATTGACCTAGTATCCCGACCGAGTTGATGACTAATTCAAGTTTGATAACATCGAATGTAACTCTACACCAAAGTTATCAGTATTGTACGATACACGATACGATTTGTATGATGTGATATGATTCACAAACGCAACGATAAGTGTCATGGGATATATCAAAAAGGGGTTTGTTTCGGATGATACGGTACATATCATTGATATGTATCATATGATACGAAAATTATATCTAAATTTATAATTTTTAATATAAAACAGAAATAAAGATTTGATTTGTGATTTAAATTAAAAAAAATCTAAAAAATTATTATTAATAAGAAAAAGAAAATAAGGAAATAGTTTAGCCATTGCAACCAGAGATAGGAAGCAACCTGGTAATCATTTAATTTTATTCATTACTTAAATTGATGTTTTACTTTAAAAAATATAAGGGAGGAGAAAGGAGACGGAAATGGATAATCTCACGTGGAAAAAAAACATGATATGGTCATATGAGAATATCACAACTATACAAAGGTGAATCAACTGTTATGATTTCGTAACTATCTATTTTATCATTTTTTTCTCTCTCCTCTTTTATTACCATTGATCCACATTTGTATGGTTATGATTTCCCACATGACATGGTCATGTGAAAATTCACATGAGAGGATCCGGATCCAAAGGAGACACACATGATTCTATCTGTTTATCATATTTAGATTCCGATGGTTAATGGATTACTGAGCAAGATGAGCCTTGCCTAATGGATAGAAAATCTTGGATGGATGTCCATGAGTGCTTCAACATTGATGAAGGAGACCCAAGCAAAAAGAGAAAGAAAAGTATACTTGCTCGTATAATGTTTCTTTTAGTCAAACGCCATATCTAATTATTTACATATGTAATTATATATTTTGTTATGCATATTTTTATTTTTTTAGGTCCTATGAAATTTTAAAGTTGATAGGAATGATAAAACTAAAGGCATAATCATACAAGAACAAGATAATCTTGATATGCTTGATAAAACAAAATGATATTACCAATAAGAATGATAAGAAAGAAGGACCTCAGATTATTGAATAAGAAATGAGTCAAATGATTACCTTAACGAAAAAGATGTTAAATTAATTATGTCGCTGATAGTGATAATAATAATAATAATAATAATATTAGTCTTAATAATTGATGAGTAGAAAAATAGCTGGTTTGCATTTTAGTTACATATATATTTTGTTTATTGTTTTTTTTTAGAATTTAGATTTATATGATATTAATTATATTATATATTTTTTTAAAAAAATTATTATATTTCTCAATCTTACTATTGAATATATTCACAATACAAATTACAGAGACAAAAAAAATGATCAAACAATACACAATATTTATTGCGATTTAGGAACTGCTCCACACTAATATTATACATTTGCGTTGATCCATCCAAAGTGGTTGGTCAAATCTTGGTATTTAATTGTATCCAACATGCGTGCCGATGCAGCTTTCTCAGTTTTTTGTTTTAACATTCTTTTCCGTCTTTTAATATTTAGAAAAATATTTCTGAGCTACCGTAGATAAATTATCTGTATTTACTCTTAAAATAACATTATTTTAAGATTGAAATATTATAAAATTATAATTATAAAGAGTGAAATCTTAAAATAATATTGTATTAGAGTTACTACAAATATACAGGTGACTGCCTTTAATATTCATAATCATAACAAACAATAGAATAGAATATCTAAGTTTCAATTGGACCAAAAACATATATTATAAATTTACAAAAAAAAAAAAAAAAAAAAAAACCTATATTATAATATTCCATGTTATGTTTGTACTCACAAATAAATGTACATATTCCATGTTATTTCGTGGAGCTCATGGTGGTCTTGAATAAGAAGAACACGCGTCAAAATTACGCGTGCTTTTTTAAATAATGAAACGTCAAGTATAAGAGCAGGTTAAGTTTCAATTTTTTATGTACAAAAAACAAGTTTCAAATTTTATTTTTTTTTTAGTTTTTTTTTTGGCAACAAGCATTTGCTTTCATCAACTTTGGAACATTTCAGAGAAAGTGTTTACAATTGTCAATTGTGTAAGCATGAAGCAATAATTATTAATACTATCTTCTTTTTTCCCATTGTTTTCAACCAAATCTTGTGTGTGTTGCAATGTCTGGTTTCAATTTGGTTTGACATGTTATAATTCTTCCTCTTTTCTAGGTAAATTTCAATATCTGTGGTATCATAATCAACTGGGTTTTTCAAGGTTTTTGGATTGCACCAATCATGGTCTTTGTTTTCCTTTGATTCTCTCTTACACTTTAGCGTGATCATGATAAAAGAAAAGTGGGTTTGCTCAAATTGTTCCCCTGCTGCATATTGGTTAAACTTTGATTGATTCTGAACGTGGTGATTAACCTTGTTCCCAATTAGTTCTTTTATTATGCTTCCTTAACCCTTACCAGTTTAAATTAGATAAATGAAAATTTTCAAGACAATCAGGGAGCAGATTCCATTTGATTATGTATTGTTTCAAAATCGATGTTATCTTATTTGGATAGTACTTTATGAATTAAGAATCTCTTACCTTTTTTTTTTTCTGTTGGGTTATTGATGAATTTTAGGTTGAATCCCCTACTAGTTTGGGATAAAGATGATGCTGATGCTGATACTGTTGTTGATAAATTTTAGGTTGAATAAAAATGAGCAATAAAAGAGACAAGCATGATGATGAATCTAGTGAGAGAGGTTTGTTTTCACATATAATAGGCTATCCATCAGCACCACCTTATCCTCCTCCACCTGGATCATACCCAGCATCAGGTTATCCACCTCCAGGAGGCTATCCTCCAACAGCATATCCACCACCTGCATATCAACCTCAAGGAGCATATCCACCTTCTGGTTATTACCCTTCAGGATATCCACCTCCAGGAGGGTATCCACCTTCTGGTTATCCTCATTCAGGATATCATCAACCACCTTATCCTCCCCCACATGGCGGCTATCCAGGTGCTCCACATCCATATTCTTCAGGTACACTTGGCCATTCCAATTTGTTATGAAGATTATGATATGTTTTAGTTTGTTGTTTGAAAATGAGTTATTACTTTCCAATATCCTCTTTACTCAAGTAAGAGGGCATTGGTAAATCTGCTCCTGCGTTATTGAAATGTCACGGTTTTGAATCCAGGATGCAATTTCGTTGCAAAATTGTAAAGGTAAGGCTGTATATAAGGATTTCTCTCAACCATACCCTTGCAAGTTCGGGTTTTATGGGCTGTATTTGTTTTTTTATCCTCTTTACTCATGTCAACACCACCATCAGCAACAAAGATTTATCCCACTAGGTAGTGTAGGCTACATGGATCAATTGCCAGTGTTGGATTCTATAAAATCCATTCCCCATTGAACCCCAACTATTGAGGGTGGGATGAGAGCAATGTTTGTACATAGCCTTTTCCTTGCATAATTACAAATAGCCTGTTACCCGGATAGTGTTGGATTCTATCAAAAATTAAATTTTCAGTTAAGCCATAATTTAGATGAACGTTTTTGTTATTGGTTTCTCCTACTGTTTTCTTGCATAGATTACATTCAAGCCATACTTGATATTACATCTTTGTATTACTGAGTGAATTTCTTCTCATACTTTAGAATAATTCTGGGATTTGGGAAGGTTATGGTTTAATTGCAATATGCACTGTGGAACTGTCTTATTGTTATGTAGGGCATGGGGCTGGTGTTGGAGGATTGTTAGCAGGGGGTGCTGCTGCTGCAGCTGTTGCATATGGAGCTCACCATCTGGCACATGGAGGTCATCATCATGGTCATCATCATGGTCATCATTATGGACATGGGGGTTACTTTGGTCATGGAAAGTTTAAGCATGGGAAATTTGGCAAGCGTTGGAAGCATGGCAGGTTTGGATTCGGCAAGTTTAAGCATGGTTGGAAAAGATGGAAGTGATACAATGGCCAATATATAAAATATGTAATTATGCATGGTCATGAAGGTTGAATTCTGGGATGAATAATGTTTGCTATTAGCAATATACTGAGTTTCAGTTAGAGGTTTGCTAGGACTACTTTTTGTACATTGGTCATTATTATCTTTTGTGCAAATGTGTGTGGCTCCTGTACACATAAGAAAGCCATTATCCTTAATTATTTAGCTTGCTTTCTTACTATTTTCTTCTTCATGAATAGCTTAAGTTGAGATAACAGTTTAGTAAATTTGACAGAAAACGTTTGTCACTTTTCAGTAGTAGAAGTTTCTGCTTCCAGTGTGGAAATAGGCCGTACATGTAGAAACTTGTATCCTATTATGTCCTTTTGAACTCCTTTTAAAATTTATTCTGTTTCCATAGGTTATCATTAAACTATTGTAAAGAGGAAATGTCCATGAAACAAATGAGCCTTAAGAAAAATTGTAAATTGTTTGTATGTGCTAAGTATGAGCAACTCCTTACTGGATAAAAACATCTGTGGTAAAAAAACTAGGCATTTGGTGTGTCTCAAAGTCCTTAAAAAAGGAGAGCAAAACCTTGGAGTCTGAGTGAATGTAAGCTATTGTTCTTTAATTTTATTTTTTTCATTCAATGAATATCTGATGATGAAATTCGTAGTATTGGAAACTTAGTTATAATGGTTTTTAATTGAATAGTTTTTTTTTTTAATCCAAAAAAAGGAAGAATAATTTGATAGTTTGTAATGAGACTAATGGTAAACATTGGACTTCGGTAGTTAATTGCCGAAATTGCTAAACATTGTTTTAAGCAAGGAATTTGGTACTTAATTTTCCCCTCATTGCTTAAGCAACTAATAATTATGGCATTAACATATTCTTTCAATCATGAGAACTAGCCAAATTTACAACTGTATCATTTGTAAGCAGAAGTGACATGAGGGGATCATGAAGATCACTCCCCTAATGTTACAAAGAACAGCTGTGTACGCATCTATGTAACTAAGTTCGAGTTTTGAGTTAGGTAGAGTAAATTCTAAATAAACCATTATCACTGTGTTCAGTGTCAAAATATAAAATGGATTGATCATATCCAACAAGTCCTCCTATTTAATTCAATGTTTTCAACTGACGAGAGTGTTGGGAATAAGGAAAGAAATATTGAAAGGATTGAAACTGAAGGAAGTCTCTTTGCCTAGAATAACACAATTAATGAAACCACGTCCACTTTCAACAATTTTCAAACCAAAGACCCTTCTTCTGTTCTTCATTTCATTAAGGAAAAGGTCACAAGTCTTCGATTCTATTGCTATTTTCTTAGTCCTGCCTATAATTGAAAGGAAATTGATCCAAGAAATGACACTAGGTTTCTTGAATATTGAAAACAAAAAAGAAAAAGAAAAAAGGAGCAACAATCAATCACCAAACCACCTCGAACATCAACAAATTCATAGAAACATCATCCAACTAAAAGGAAAATAACTATTTTTGTCAACATCAACAAAAGCAAAATCAAAAGCTCCCAATATGCAGCCTGCAGCAAAACATTTAAGTAATTTTGACTTCTCCACGATTCCATTCAATTTTAATCTACGAAGCCCAGCCTAAGCAGAAAGAAGTCTGACACAAGACGAAGGAAAATGCTTGTCCTTATACATTCAAAGTTCAAAGTGTTTATCCACAATTTTATTTGGACATGAGACAAGTTATATTTATAACCTCTTTTTTCCTTACATCCTCTTACAATCATTTATGTTATCATTTTTCAGTATTCATACAGTCCACAAACCTCTTCATCTATCCAGGACAAAATTTATTTTTCAAATTTTGAGTTATCATTTTTGTTTCTTTTTTAAATTAAAACCAGTATGGTTTTAAACACGCATTTATAACAGAGATCATCAGGGAAGTGCATCCCATATTTATGATATGCTTCTTACTTGTCATCAAAAATAAAATTTCTATGGACTTCTGTTAATTGCAAGCAACAAGCATATATAAATTAGTATTTACTTAGCACAAAAAATAAAAATGAAATTCAATTTTTCTTTTCAAGATACAAATGTAATATATACAGAATATACTTTCAAAAAATGATATGATATTTGACAAGCTTAGTCCAATTTTGACTTGCTACATATGCAGATCTGAGAGATTAAGCTGACTAGAAAAGGCCTACCAAAATGGCAATACAATGTTGTAGACAAAGCATCAGTCATCTTCCCCAAGCAAACCTTTTGCCAATAGCAAAACTCATTAATAATCCAGAATGCCTTGAATAAGAGTTCACAGTTTTACCAACTTGTAGAGTTATATTACTCACTTTCCTGTAGGAAACCATAACTCCCATCTTGTTCCAAACCCATATCATAAACTTCAGAATCTGCTTCTCTAACTCTTCGTGAAGCATTGCCTGAAGTTCTTTTAGTATATTTCCCACTTCTTCTGCCTGCAATGGAATTACTCCCTCTGTGGATCATGCCAGAACCAACTCTCCCCGAATACAAACCATTAGACCCATCAAAATCTTTTGGCATAACTCTTCTTCCATCACCCTTGCTCCTCAATCTTCTATCATCAGACCCATCAACATTATTTGATAAATACCTTCTTCCATTCCCCTTATTCCTCGATCTGCCATCAAAACTCACTCCATTCCTCCCAGAACCCAAAGAAGAAGAAGAAGAACGCTCTCCATCATCAGACCCATCAACACCCTTAGTAAAAAACTTGCTTCCATTACCATTCTTCCTCATTTTTCCATCAACATTAAATCCTTTCCTCCCAGAACCCAAAGAAGAAGAAGAAGAACGCTCTCCATCATCAGACCCATCAACACCCTTTGAAAAAAACTTGCTTCCATTACCATTCTTCCTCATTTTTCCATCAACATTAAATCCTTTCCTACCATCATAATTCAAAGAAGAAGAACGCTCTCCATCATTAGACCGACCAACACCGTTCGACAAAAACTTCCTTCCATTCCCCTTTCTACTATCAAAGCTCACTCCATCCACCCCAGAATCCGAATCAGAACAAAACCCTCTTCCATCTGCATCACCAGACCAATCATCCTCCACAACAGGGCCCTTCATCAACTCATCACCATCACCACCAACCTTCCTGTAAGGCTTGATACTATGAACAACCCCTTTAGGAAAAAACCTTGCAGAGGGCAAGTCATCAGGGGTTTCAAACAACTGCGGTCCATCATTTTCGCTCCAAAGATCAAACCCACCAGGCCTTTGGAACCTATCAGCAAGAACCTTAACCTGTTCATCAGCACTCACAGAGAACAAGCTGGGGGCCTTCTCAACCACCTCCCATGGCCTCTCAAGCTCTGAAACAGCAGCCTTCAGCTCAGCCCTCTTGCGCATCTCGTATATCTGCCTCTCGCGCATTAAGCGCGCCTTTAGAAGCTGCTTGGCCTTCTTGGCCTGCATACGCTTCCACTGCCACTTGGACACACCACCTGGGTATGTTCTTGGCCCTCCACCCATGCGGATAATAGTGGTCATAGTTGAAGGGCGTGTGAGGGAGCTTAAATTGTTGCTATTGTTGTGGAGAAAGTGCCATTGTGAACTTGACAAAGATTTGGAGAATGAAACTTGTTGTGGCAAATTGGGGTTTAAGATATTCATTTGGATTTGGTTTAGATTTTGATTTTGGGTGCCTTTGAAATGACTGAAAACAGCATCAAAATTTAATTTTTTTCCCGAAAAAAATTATCTGAAAAAAACAAAAAGATTGAACAGAACATGAGCTACGAAAACAACATCATAATACAGAATGGAGCAGGAATCCACAATTAAAAATCAACAAATTCGACAATAAACAGAATACCTCACTGAAAGAGTTAATGGTACACAAAAAGAATTAACAAATTCGAGTAATCGAAAACCCAAAATCCACAATTAAAAAACCTAAATTGTGTAGCAGTAGTACTATTACCTGAGCGAAGATAGATAGAGGGACCAGGAGAGACACAGTCGAATTGCTCAGATAAGCCTCGGCCGTTAGTTTCTTTCTTTTTCTTTTTTAATTTTTTCCTTTTAAATGATATATTTACTGTAAAAACTACTGCACGGATAACCTGAAATCAGGATTCTTAAAAATAGAGCGTGAAAGTTATTTTTGAGAATATTATCAAAAAATTTTTTGATAAACTAAAATATTATCAGAATTTTTTCTAAAAAAAAAAAAATCAAAAGGATTACCACTGTCACTCTCTTGAGAATCTCAAAAAAAAAATTAAGGGTAATAATTTTTTCATGCGTAAAAACTATTACCTCCAACAGACTGATTTGTGGAGATGAGATCCATTATAGAGACAAAAAAAATAGAATGGAATTCACCTTAAAGTTATATGTGTAAGAGATAGTTTCTTTTTTACGCAATATCAAAATTATAAATCCTAAAAACTAAATGTGTCTCTTATTTGCATGAGACAATGTCAACGAGTAAATGTGACCCATTTTTTCTTTATATCTCAGTAAGTTTATTTTTTACGCAACATCAAAATTATAAAGAGAAAAAATATATAATGGAATCCACCTTAGATTTATGGGGAAGGATCCGTTTACAAATTTTTTTGAATTTTTTTTACAAATTACACTATGTTCTCCCGGGAGAACATAGTGAAACTAGTGTACTAGTGTTCTTCTGGGAGAACATAGTGTAGTTTGTATGAATTTGTAAACAAAAAAGTTTGTAAATATAACATGCTCCTAGATTTATATATGTAAAAGATAGTTTCTTTTTTACGCAACATCAAAATTATAAATCCCAAAAACCAAATGTGTCTCTTATTTGCATGAGACAACGTGAACGAGTAAATGTAACCCATTTTTTCTTTATATCTCATTAAGTTTCGTCACCCATTTTTTATGAGATACAATATATTCCCAAAAAACTAAAATTGAAAATAGAAAGTTATTTTTTGAGCACACTGTGTGTGTTTTGTGCATATCAACGTAGTATTTCATCACACCAAGTAACCAAATACACGACAGGAAAAGATAACCTAGCACCGGAGACCTTCGTGTAGAAAACTTTCCATTTCCCACACCTTAGGCCTCAAAAGGTAAAACTGCCCAGAAAACCTTGAAAATATCTGTGAAAAAGCCATACAATTGGCGATAGTTGCAATCATGCATTCGAGCAAGAAGGGATCGGGTCATGATCTCCCCCATTCGCTTGGTCTGCACAAAACAGACTTGACCTGAGCGCAAGGTTTCATTTCTGCCAAAAGACAAACAAAAACAAATTAAAACAAGAAAAGAATTTAATAAAAATATTGGGTGGTTTTTCTCTACCCACTCGATTTCCATGATTCTAAAGAACTTGTACATTCAGATTTTAGGGGGAGTCACAATACAATACAGTGGCGCCCCAAAAATACAAGTCCATCGCCTCATAAGCCCTAACCAGGGCAACATACATTGTGGGATTGCCAATTAAGTCATAAATGGTATCACAACCATGTTTGTATGTGAGTAACCAAGTGTGGTGTGTGTGTGTGTGAGAGTGAAAAGTAGGGGGAGGGGATGAGGTTTTATAGTGAGAGATTTTTTTTGCCCCGATTTTTATTAAATGTTTTCATCACACCCAAGAAATAACTTTTTTGAGCACAATGTGTGTGTTTTGTGTAGACCAATGTAGTATGTCGTCACACCCAAGTAACCAAATACATGACAGGAAAAGATAACCTAGCACCGGAGACCCTCGTGAAGAAAATTTCCCATTTCCCACACCTTAGGCCTCAAAAGGTAAAACTGCCCAGAAAACCTTGAAAATATCTGTGAAAAAGCCATATAGTTGGCGATAGTTGCAATCATGCATTCGAGCAAGAAGGGCCCGGGTCATGATCTCCCCTATTCGGTTGGTCTGCACAAAACAGACTTGACCCGAGCGCAAGGTTTCATTTCTACCAAAAGACAAACAAAAGCAAATTAAAATAAGAAAAGAATTAAATAAATAAACTGGGTGATTCTTCTCTACCCACTCGGTTTTCACAATTATGATGAACTTGTACATTCAGATTTTTTGGAGCTTCACAATACAATACTCTGACGCCCCAAAAATCTGAATGTATAAGTTCTTCGCCTCATAAGCCTTACCCGAGCAACATACACTGTGGGAATGCCAATTATAGTCATAAATGGTATCACAGCCATGTTTGTGTGAGTAACCAAGTGCGGTGTGTGCATGTGAGAGTGAAAAGTAGGGGGAGGGAATGAGGTTTTATAGCGAGAGAAAAAAAATTTATCCCAATTTTTTTTCAACGTTTTCGTCACACCCAATGAATAACTTTTTTGAGCACACTGTGTATGTTTTGTGCAGACCAATGTAGTATTTCGTCACACCCAAGTAACCAAATACACGACAGGAAAAAATAACTTAGCACTAGAGACCCTCGCGCAGAAAACTTCTCATTTCCCACACCTTAGGCCTCAAAAGGTAAAACTGCCCAGAAAACCTTGAAAATGTCTATGAAAAAGCCATATAGTTGGCGATAGTTGCAATCATGCATTCGAGCAAGAAGGGCTCGGGTCATGATTTCCCCCATTCGGTTGGTCTGCACAAAACAAACTTGACCCGAGCGCAAGGTTTCATTTCTGCCAAAAGACAAACAAAAACAAATTATAATAAGAAAAAAAAATTTAATGAATAAATTGGGTGATTCTTCTCTACTCACTTAGTTTTCACGATTTTGATGAATTTGTATATTCAGATTTTTGGGGGCTTCACAATACAATACTATGCTCAAACTATTATGAGCATGTGACCTCTCTTAAAAGCAGCTAACGTTTTGCCCAAAAAAGAGACAATAAAACAAACAAGAAATAAGAACAATACCTCCTATTTGCACTTTAACAAGATGGCATAAATATCAAACATTTGCTCAAGAAATAAGATATATACTATTCTATATAAAGGAATACTACCGTTTTCCCTTTGAAGAGATTTGGTAAGATATCTGTATGTATGACATGACATGCCTCGTATGGGTGTTTGCGTCTGGATTGGATTTGTAAGAACCTGCACCGTTAATTTAGGAAATTAGTTAAATAAATATGAGAATTAGGAAATAATTCCATAATTGACCCTAGTAATTATGAGAAGGCTTAAATAATTATAGTAAGTGATTAAGAATGCTGAAAGTCGCTTTTTTGACGAAAAGTGAAGATACCGGTTCTGCCTCACGGTATAAATGCGTACCGATGAAGTATCTCGGAAAATTATGAAAATTATGTATATATCACTAGAAAAATATATAGGACTGGCATAACAAGTTTCATTTCAAAATAATGAGAACTGGTGCCAGAACTGATACTGGCTATGTAAAAGCGCCTACCGGAAAGGTGCTGTGAAAAATAAAATAAAAATATAAAAAATCTTAGAAAAATGAGTAGATTCAGAATCCTAAGTTTGAGATTAAAATGCTAAGCGTAGCTATTAGCGCTAATACAGTGCGATTAAGACTTAAGTGGCCTATATAAGGCCTTGGCACATGATCCTAGGTCATTGTTTTATGCCTTCTACGTGGGAAACCCTTCAGCTGACCAGCCTCCACTGTTTCATGGTCTTCTTTTCTCCATTTTGAGACCAAGGAGCCGCCTTTCTCCATGAAACTTTCACTTAAACACCATTGTTGAGTGAGAGTTGGTCTTGTGAGGGTGTTGATTACTCCCTAGTTGAGTGTAAACTTCTGAGTTTGAGGTGTGGTGGGCTGAGCTTGTGGTTGGAGTTGTGAGAGCCTTTAAGGTAGCATTTTGAGCTTCAAGGTGTGACATTTAAGGAGAAAGAACCATTGTGGTGTGCCATTTTCGTGCACCTTCAAAGTCAGAACCTTTGGAGCTGTTGTGAGAGCTCCAAGAGCCATTGTACCTCTGTTTTGAGCTTGGGTAAGCTTCCCCACGTTTGATCATGAGTTTTATTGGTTAAAAGTGGAGTCTTGGCATGTTTAATGAGTTGTTTAAGTAACTAACCTGAACATGAACCTAAAAGGGTATAAAAATGCATGCTTGGACGTAGTAATGGGTTAAAAACCCAACCTTGGAAGTGATATCTCGCGAAATGCAGAAACTGCATTCTGTCGCGAAATATCCGGATATGATATCCGGATATTGATATTCGGATATGGGGTCTTGTGATATCCGAATATGGATATCCGGATATGCATATCCGGATATTAATATCCGGATATGTCCCCGACATATATCCGGATATTCTGGATTTTCGAGAATAGTAAGGGTACTGTTCATACAGAATGACATTTTGGGTTTGTGGACCCATGTTTGGTCAATGTGGACTTCTGTAATAACTAAACTAAGTCAGAATCAAAGTGATTAAGGGTTTGTGACTTTGTGAGAAGCCTAAAGACATGAAACGTAAAGGAAATGCGTTGTCTTTATGTTATATGCTTGTAAAGTATGATTGTTGATAAGATTGCTGGTCTAAAACAGATTGTGATTATGCTGTTTGTGGACTTTGAGCTAGTTGGACTCTTGGCTTGGATAGTTAGCTTGCAAGGTAAGCTTTTGTATCCTCGGTTTAGCCATTGTTGATTTCACCATACTCCATGGGGGGATAATATGCATGATGTGTTTTCATGTATTGATTTATTGAAATGCTTTTGAGCTGTTAAGTGCAAATGCCTATGATATGTATGTGGTGTTCGCCTAGACGGGATTAAGTTCCTGTGGGCAGGTACGACATTTGCATGTACTGTTGTGGGTTGTAGACGTACGTATATCCTACGCTTCCTCTGATCAGTAGAATAATTAACACACATGACATGATGATATGCTGCATTGCAGTGATTTTGGAACTTGTATGATATTACTGCTTTTGAACTTATATTGCACATGTAAGTGAGCTTGGGGTGGAGAAATCCTTGAGGACCCCTTGCCTTACTGAGATTTCTGTTTAGAGATCTCAGCCCACGTTTGGGGCACATATTTCAGGTTCAGGTAACTCGGGGGTTGAGACCTCGGGTGACAGGAGACC